ACCTTCACATCTCTTCATCAGGCGCTTCCACATGGAATAAAAGTGTCTGAAAATGCGATCTCAAGAGATTATTTACATCACAAATACGCTTCGTGTAAATAGTTGTTGGCCTGTTCAAAATCGTTTGCACATCTCCAGCTAATTGGGAAGCCTTTTTCATAGTCGCGAGCCCATTATCTCACGGAATGAGGTTCAAGATGATGGCAATTCAGCATAAGCCAAAAAGGGGCTACTACATGTGCCCGTTCCTGGCACGTTCACTCTGCAGGTACCAGCTTAATCACGAAAATGCTGAGTCATTCATTCGTCCATTTCTCCATTTTGCCCACATTTATCCACCAGTTCACATATACTCGCTCGTGGACTGCAGTGTTTGAGACCAAGCCAGAATCAGGTTGAATTAGCAAATGATACAAGGCCTTGTAAACTGTGGAGACTGGGCTCCGATGCAGATCTGTGGAGTAGCAATTTGACGAGTACTGCATCTTTTATGTTTGCCTGTTCAAGTTCATATACACTAGTGTGAACTTGGTGACTATGCCGTGGCGTGTTTAGGTGTGTGAGTATGCGTGCAAGCCCATGTACTCGTACAAATGCAAATGTGTGTGTGTGTGTGTGTGAAAATGTATTTCCCCGCCTACCTGTATCCACCCCGTGCCTTGTTGACGTGTTAATATGTGCATGATTATTGAGAAAGGTGACAGACATGAGAGGAAGTATGGGCGATTTTCGCATTTCATAGATGAAAAAAACCAGCTAGTCTATTTTTGTGGTTGTCTCCTCGTTTCCAGTCTCGTATTCAATTGGGCGAACGGCAAAGGGGTCAGTCATTCCCGGGCAAAATGAGGCAACCAGACGTGGGGCACACATCTTTTCAGATTAACCTGGGTGCATGGGAATGGATGACTGCACACCCAATAGGGCAAGCATACAAGCGTGTAGTGATGCTGCCTCTCTCTGTCTTCCCGTCTCAGAGGTGTGCCTCTGAGGCCCTATAGCGCTATCCGTCGGGTTGCTCTCCTTCCTTTTAGAGGTCCTCCGGTGATAACTCTAAGAAACGAGGCAAATTAGGGTTGTGCGACCAGGAATAAGCGAAAGCGCAGAGATTATGTGAATAGCTGCACATCACAAATAGTTTTACGACACACCCTACTCCCCCTCAAGCCAGCCTCACTCACTCCTCTATTCATACATTCGTTCGTCCAGGCTTGAGGGAATTCCTAAAGTGAGCTACCGGATTCTGCATCAAATTTCCCAAAGAGCGTCTGTGCACATCTTTGCAAGACAATAAAAACCAGATCTCTCTATTCCTGTCGAGGAAACGGCATGTCCCTGCGACCCCAAATCCGGTGTCCACCATGATATGGTCATTTAACTTGGGACTCTAAACTAGCGAATAAGGTGAAGCCGAGGGAAAGACAACTAGTCTGCAGGTTGCAGAGCCAACAGAAGGATAAGAGAAACACAAATAAACCGATGATTCCGCCCCGATCGATGAGTAGAAGCCATGATGACTTCTGGGGGCACCAAAGGTTTATGTGATTGTTGCCAGTTTTCTCGGACAGCCACAAAAACAGGCAGACTAAACTCCGCCCATCAGAACAAAATTGCAACTTGCTGATATGGACCACCGTTACTGAAGCATTTGAAAATTGATCAACACGTGATAAAGTGAAGTGAAGGCCTTATCTCGCGGCAACGTGTTACCATGTCGAGACTTCCAAGATAGTGTTGCTTCAACCGGCCAACTGCAAATTCGAGTCGAGTGTGTCTTGCCTTGAAATCTGTCGGCGCTGAGGTCGTGCCGTCCAAGGGGAAGGTAGTTGTCTGTGGGCCAACACCTATCGGGGTACAGATGACGCCAGAGCGGAGTCGAAGCCGTAACCAAACAAGACTAAGCTTTTGATATAAAGTTGAATGAATTGACGTTTGGTACCGATTCCCCACATAAGATGGTGCTGACTTTGCCTTGAGGACATGATCGTCATGTGAGGCAACTTGAAGGGTCAGGTGGCCAAGAAAAACAGTGTTTGTCTCTGCACTAATGAACACTCGGTTCATTACGTGTCATCACCTCTTCGGGCACAGATTCACCAGCAAAACTGGCGAGTATCGACAGGATTTTCATAGTTGAGAGATTACTGATTAATAAAGAGGTTCTTAAGTCTTTGTCTTGTTTAATTGTGGCCAGTCTATCTTTCAGTGGTCTTAACTACAATATAAATTGTTAACTTTGTCAGCAATTACTAAAGGAAATTTATTGTCGAAAGCATCTTAGTCAAAATGACGATTCCAGTGCGCATTTTGGTTTCCAGTCAGGCCAGCTTACGAATCCCTTTAATTGATCTTTTAAAACTAAATGAAAGATAAAACAGCATAGAAGTCACAACTCGGTCATATTGTTAAGAAGTCTTAGAGGAACGCACCTAGTCCGGAGTCCATTGTATGCATCATCATTTCCAGAGTATGACCGTGGACGTGGTAGATTCCCAGAAATTTCGCCGGCATCGTAGTCGGCATCGTCAGTGAGTATCGTCATTTTGAGCATCATTAAACAACTCGTCAAAGAGACAAGTGAAGACGATCCTTTAACCAAAT